TGGGCCTAAATCTGTCCTGCTTGCAACAGCAGGGCCCTTGGGCTGCCGTTCCTCACCAGGGGACTCGGCTACACAGAGCTAAACCATTTCTGTGTCTGTTTCTCAGAACAGGCACCGTGGCATTGGCACACTCACCTTGTCAAGTTTCAGTTCCAGTTCTGTCACATCTCCTTCCACTTCTTCTAAAGCAGCCCTGTATCGTCAAAAAATAAAGTTCTCCTGTAAGTTTTATTAAAAAACACTTTTGAACTTGGCAATAAAATAGCTAAAATGCCTGTATACCCCCTACCCCACCTCGGTTTCACTTAAACTATAAAGCAACACAGATTCTAGGGGACCACGAAGATGACCTGCTAGACACCCGACTGTCAAAACAAACCAAACCACCTCACAACACGATCCGTTAAACAGCTTAGTAATAGAGAACACAGATGAAATTTTATACCTGCCTGTGTTTCACATTAGCTATGTGATGATAAAGGAAGCATAACTCAATAACCAATATGTTTGAAGGTGTTTATATCAAAGAGAACTTTGCAACTCTTTCAGTGACTCTCTGAGCTCTTACCCCTCCCCTCCTTCCCCCAACATCCTGCAGTTAAACAGCAAAATTGCAATAAGATTACAAAAATACAGGATTTGCCATGAGTCAACTGACACAGCAAGAGAGCCGAGCACGGGCGAGCTGAGAAAGGGCGACACTTCACTGCGTTCACAAACGGGACCTGAACGGACTAATTTCTGGTAAAGAACGCTGCATTACAGAGAAGTCCAGTTCACCGGGGCAGGATCTGACACTGTAAAGAGGCCGGTAGGAACCGTGGTTTTCCCATCCTTTGCTCCCATCACCAGGGAACCTCATCCTTTCAGCTATTCCAGCATAATTACTCATGGAGCCAAACTGCTCACCAGAAGTACTCTGATTAACAAAAAAAAAAAAAAAAAAGAGAAGTTTTCTGCAGTGCTTTATGGAAAACTGGATCAGATACACTTCCCACAAAACTCTCCCCCTCAAAAAAGTGGGATATATGACAGGGAACTGTGATTAGGGAATTTCTTAAGCCAGCTTTACCACCAGATGAGAGCGCGTTGATCCCCAGCCCTACTGTCTCCTGCTAATGCTTTTTCAGTTCACACGAGTTCAAGCCAAGAACAGAAAAATAAGCCTGGATCAGGCTCCAAACTCAGGAAAAGCAGTTTCTGAAGAACAGTTCTGCAACCCGCTGCCAGCGCTTCTCAAACAGTCAGGATGTAAATCCCAGCTTTCCGCACGCTTGGCTCACGCTTTGCACACTCCCATTTCGATCCTCACAGGCATTCCCGCACAGCTACAGTCTGCCCTTACATCTAAGCACGTTCCCATACCGTGGCCGTTGGACTTGTGTCTGCCCTCTAGCACCAAACCAGAAACAAATTCAGACCAAGTTAATTCCTCTTTTCTATTTTGTCTGTAAGGGATTAGTTTTCATTTAAATCTCTTGAGTTAAAACTTCTTTCTAGGAGCATTATAGGAGGAAATTTAAAAATATATACACACACAAAAGGAGGAAAGGATAAATACCTCAATATTTAGACTGTTATTTTGTATTAGTTTGTTTATAAACACAATGCAGCTGATCTCTATTTGTTCCTTTGGCATTAACATGAAAAGTATGATTAAGTAGTTTGTTTAAAAAATTGTACCACTATTTGATAAACACATTTAAAAATATATTTTTTGTTAACTGGAAAAAGAGTTCTAGTTCCATGGGGTTTTATGAGCTTAAAAAAAAAATCTAAACCAGACACAAGATGGAGAAGAGAGATAAAGACAGCAGAGCAAGCAAGAGCGAAGACAACAAACTTCCTCAATAAGCCAAGCTGTAAAGGCGGGGGGTGAAGGCAGCAGAGAACAAGCTAAACTGAAAGGAAAGGGAGACAGGACCACTGAGAAGATAAAGGAGGGTGAGCAAAGGAGAGAGCAAAGCAGAGAAGGACAGTGTGGACGGAGGGAGCTGGAATAACCCCCGGCCCAGCCTGGCCCAGAGCAGGAGACCTTTGAGCAAGTCCCAGCTCCAGCTGCCTCCCCCACAGCCCTCAAGGGAAGGCACATCTGGCCCTGCAGCTGGCGCCGGGCAAAAGCTACCGAGGTTTCAAACCAAACCCCATTTCAACTCCTTATTTCTTTGTGCAGAACAGTCTGTTTCCACTGTCCGCAGCACTTGAAGACTCATAGGAGAGTTGTTTTCATGCATTGTGTTTACAGGAACAGACCCTCCCTGGGTTATTTGCGCAAGAACGACAGAGAGGAGCCCTGGCACTACACCACAATACAGAAATTTAATAATGTAGTGACACAGAAGTATCCATTTATTCAGAAATAGTTTTCATACTATGTCAGGCAACATGCTAAGAGCAGCTGACCTAAGCTGTGTTGCATTCATGCTATTCTTATTTTTCCTTAATTCAATAGCTTTTTGGAGCCATTAAATATTAAGGTGCTTTTTTTCCTCCAGAACATCTGTGTCAGGGATACTTCAAGTTCGCAAAAAATTATTGTGATTCCGAGTAAATCCCATGTCCTCAGCCAAGACCAAAGCTCCAGCTATAAACACAGGAAGTGATCGTAAAGCGCCGAGCGCCAAGTGCCAGATCTGACCTGCAGCGGGAAGGCAGCTCCTCGGGGAGCTGGGAATAGGCTTTGTGTCAGGGCAGCCTCCGCCAAGAGCCTCTGACACGAGCAATAAGGATCAGCCCTTCAAAGCTGTCTCGGGACGTGAATCAAAGTCCAACATCTGGGGCTTCCTGAGGCCTTCGAGCCCGACATGGCAGAGCACAAATCCAGAAGAGCTGCTGAGGGGAGGACGGCTTGTAGAAGCGGCCGCTCTCCCACGATCCGCATGCTCCGCAGTGAAGACCCTTAGGAACGTGTCCCCCTCCTCTGCCACTTCTCCTCTCCAGAAGCACAGCCCAGGTCACTACCATGCAGCTCCCATGAAAAAACATCTATGGCGCAGGGAGAACATAGGAGAGGATAGAAGAAAACTCACAATCTCATGCAGCAAGCTTTTTTCCTCCCTTCTTTTCTTTTCCACTTTCCTTTCCTTCTTTTTTTCCTCCTTTCCCCCGCTCTACCCCCTGAGCTGAACAGCTTCTTTTCCCAAGTGACTGGTGGAAAACCTGCTTAAAGACCCGTTAAGGCACCAAGGACTCCAGGCACCCCCAAACCAAAGGTCACAATTAAGCTCAGTTACTCCTGGGCCATCAAGTACAAGTAAATCCTAGTGAAACAACCTCATGGGGCCTACGGCATCGCACAGACTGCCCATGACTCCAAACTCACTGCGGTCGTTGAGAAGTGGCTGTTCGGCCTCCGTCACTCCTGTTTGCTCCCACAAAGTAAGAGCTTGCAGATACTCTGGCCAGCCTCTGGATCCACACCCTGCCTACGGCCCTTCATCCACTCTTCTTGCCCATTTTTTGTATCTGGTATTTCTAATGCGCATTCTTCACAGCGGGGTGAGGAGGCCGGAATCGCCCGGCACACTGCACATACACAATGAGCTGCAGCAATCAAAGGGGGATGGATAATTAACGCTCAATTACTACCAGTTCTCAAGTATATCCCAATATTGAATATGCATGTGCCTATCTTGGAAAGAGAAAGTAAAAAACACTGATAAAAAAAGTAGTGGGAAATAAACTTTGAGAAAAGTTTAAAAGTTAAATTTCAAGATTCACCTCCTAAATACACTTTCAGAAAAGTACAAACAAGTTAAAAAAAAAAAAAAAAAAAAAAGAAGAAGAAGAAGCTACTCAAACTGGCATTTCCAAATACCTGCACGTTTGAGTTCGTAAATGAGAAATGACCAATTCCTATCATCACAATTCCAAATATAGCATTGCTAAAGTAACATCTACACATATTGGAAGACAAGATCTGTGTGCACATATTCAATAGTAGTCTCGAAGAGAACAATTCATTTAATCACAGCACACATGTCCCTTGAATACCCACGCAGCAAGTTCAATAGAACAAAACTGACATGTTAGACTAGCCACAAACCATAAATAGCTAATTCAAAGGATTTTTGAGCACACAGAAGCAGACATCACCATATTCACATTTTCTTTCATTTACTGCAGTAAAACTGCATGAGCCTGGCTGTCTATCAGAGGAGTCAATAAAGCAGCATCCGTGGGTCCCACTGCCAAGAACGTACAATTCGCCTTTGGAAAGAGAGAACATTTGACAAGAATCAATAGCAAATTGTACTGAGATTAACTCCCCTTTGTCCTCTTCCTCGGCATTTCAGTTTCATCTACAAGGACCTTAGGAAACGGAAAGGCACACACACAGATGTACACGCTGCTCCTTCCAAAGGCTGAGGGGAGAAGGCTGGTTCATAAGTAACTCAAGTAAAAGCAACTGATGGTTTTAACCTTCCCTTTGCCTCCAAACCAAACCCAGGCACTACTGGGGATCAGCAGCAGCAATCTGTGGATCCTATGACAGTTTCTCAGTTCTAGATATATGTGAAAGTCAAGCTATACCAAAGTCACCGAGCATTACCAAATTACCAAGTTATAGCTTATATGATACCAGACTAAATCTCAACCTTTGCCACCAAGATCTTCCGTGGCTTGGGAGATTCAGGTGAAAATGCCAGCAGGATATTATGATCCCTATTCCCTCCCATGCTGACTTCTGGCCTGGAACTACAAGCAGCATTGGAGATGCCTACAGACCCCTGTTCCTGGTGATCACATCCACCATTCCTAATGGCAGACTAAATAAACCAGTAAGTTTCTCATAACAAGACACACTTCAAGCTGAAGAAATTCATAGCATCTTAAAGATCAAAAAAACCCTGAATGTGGAAAACATTCCTGCAAATCCTGGACGCTCTTGGCCAGCAGACGCCCCCGGGCAGCGGCGGTGGCCGCGCCCCCCCGCCGCGCCGCAGACGCGGCCGCGCACGGATCGCACGGGGCGCTGCCCTTGCGCACACGGCAGCGCTCACACCCCGACAGCAGGCGGGTGCTCAGGGCAGAGCTGTGGAGACGCTGCTCTCCTGGCTCCCTCCAGCCGCTGCTGCTGCACTTGATTCTTCCACCTGTTACATTTAGATGTAAAAAGCTATCTTGAGGAATACACTTGGGACACGCAGAGATGAACCTCCCCGGGCAAGCTGGCACTCCGCGCACTCCTAAGC